AGGGATAAAGAATAAGCCCGACACTCCATATTCCTGAGAAGCAGCCAATCAGTGCTCATTACACTGCAAGGTCTCTCCCCTCCTTGCTAGTCCCTGGGGGCGGTGCTGGAGAGAGGCAGAAAGGGGAGGAGGAGATAAACAGCGCAAAGTTAAAAATAAACGTTTTAAGTCGCCATAAAGCCCCTTTTTGTTTTTAAAATCCCCAGACATTCCTTAAAGCGCCTCCAGATTTAAATCCGGTTTTCGTTCAAATTTATTTTTATCTGCACAAGTAGATTGTCATGAGGGATAAGTTGATTGGGGCACTGATTTAGTCCATGGACAAGTAGTTTTTTTTTTTTTTTTTTTTTTTTTTTTTTTTTTTTTTAAATTTCCACACCATTGTATGCCCAATAAAGTCTTAAGTATCAATGTGCAGTAAAGTGGATCTAAAACCCAGAAATGGAATAGTGTGCAGCTTGTGCTGTCCAAAGATGTGGTAACTACATTAGTTTCTTTTTTTTTTTTCCCTTTTATTTTTACCTGGTAAATGTGTGACTAATATATTTCCTGTCAGTGAGTGGCTATGCTAACTCTCTACTGTATCTGTAGAGGGAATCATGGTTGTCATCCAAGTTGTAGACATGTCTGCCTTTGCTCACCTCCATTACATGGGAGATGAAGACCTTAATAGTTTAAAGTGGTTCTAAAGCCTAAACTTTTTTTTTTTTTTTTTACCTAAGTGTTACTAAACCCACAACCGTAAAATCAGTCTGTATATGCAGTAAAGTATGCTTGTTATAGTCCCTGTGGAACCTAAGGGGTTAATCCTCTGTTGTGTGAAAAAAGGGTTGTTTGATCCTCCTTCTCTGTTCCTCCCTCCCCTTTTTCAAGTGACCCCACCTTCTCTCCACAGTGAACCATAGGCATGCACATGCTCAGTTTGTATATTGCTAGAGAGGTTTTTTTTTTTTCTTGGGAGAGTGCATGTGATCAGTACAGGGCCAATAAGCACTGTCCAGACGGGAGGTCAGGGGATTTCCATCATCCTAGAGCAGAAATAAAACTCCTCCTACAAGCTTTAACCAGTGCTCAGCTGAAGTCCCATAGCTTCTCTAATTGCTGATGAGAAAAGGTATTTAGCAGTTTATATTTACTAAAATAATTAAATTTCCATGTTGTGTGTTCTGTGGGAGACCAGATATAGTGAATGCAGGGTCCAGGGTTTAGTAACACTTTAATGCATTCCCTGCATGAAGGTAAAATGTTTAGGGAACAGTATCACCCTCTTACCAGAGTCCTCCCTCCATCCAGCACTATGCCGGTCTATAGCAGCTCTCTCCTCTCTCTCCTCTCACTTCCTGGGCTCAGACCTTGCTGAGGCAGCAGGATTCATTGGCTCCTGCTGCTGTCAGTCAAATTCTGTGAGGGGGCAAGGCAGAGTTGCACTGTCTTTCTATGGATGCAGGCAGCACAGATTGGGAGGGAGCCCTGCAGGTGGTACCCAATAGGAAGCTGAGAAGAGGAGCCAAGAGCGCCGATGGGGGTTTCATGGTCCACTCTGTGCAAAACCATTGCACAGAGCAGGTAAGTATGACATTTTAAAAAGAAAAAAAAAATTACTTTACAATTACTTTAAAAAATGACGCATTTTCTGCTTCAGTTCAGCTCATGAGAAGTGACGAGCACATTGCATATCTGGCAAGCATTCTCTGTACTTGTTGAAAATCTCTTAAACTTTAAAAACAACTGTAGCCACCACATCAATGGGCTGTTAATCTGCAGTATAAAACACAAAATTGTTCTATGGTTACGTTATCCTTTAATGTAACTGTCCCATTGAACTTGTAGTAAATGCAGGGTCCTGGGTTTAGTAATGCTTTGGTCTCCCACAGTACACAGAACATGGAAATGCAATTATTTTAGTAAATCTAAACTGCTAAATACCTTCTCTCATCAGCAGTATATCATGTCGTATGACTTCTGTCAGTGTCCAGTTGAGCAATGGTTAAAACTTGTAGGATTTTCAGTCTGCTCTGACTGTCCTTTGAGGCTGCAAAACCCCTGACCCTTTGTCTGGACAGTGCTGATTAGCCCTGTGCTGATCATATGCACCCTCCCAAAGAAAAAAACTCTAGCCACACACACTAAGCGGAGCATGTGCAAAGTGACTGCTAGAGCTCTGTACTATCATGGATTGGGGACAATAGAAGGGGATGATCAGAGAAGACAGGATCAAACAGCCTTTTTACACAATGTGCAGGGTTAATCCCTTTGGTTCCACGGTGAGTATAACCAGCATGCTGTGCTGCATATACAGACTGATTTTACTGTTGTGGGTTTAGTAACTGCAAGCTCTTAAGTATTTGCAGTACAGATTATGCTATACTTTAGCAGATGCTTTTTTTAGGTTGCCCTCCATAGGTGTCAAAGTTCCTCATTACCCTGTACCACAACTGAGATCTGCAGTAGCAGATTCTACCAGGTTAAACCTTGCAAGCAAGCTCCTATATTTAAACCCAAAAAGCAAACATTTATTATATTGCAGCTTAAACATTCTTAGATGTGATGGCTTTATTATATTTTTTTAGGCTTTCTTCTACTTTCACCTGGTGATCTAGCCAGCAAGTCTGTTTTTTTTTTTTTTTTTTTTTCTTTTGAAAAACAGGCTCTTCAGCAGAATGTATCTGTTTACAGGGGTGAGACAATCCATGTATCTGTTTACAGGGGTGAGACAATCCATGTATCTGTTTACGGGGGTGAGACAATCCATGTATCTGTTTACAGGGGTGAGACAATCCATGTATCTGTTTACGGGGGTGAGACAATCCATGTATCTGCTTTTATCCATGTATCTGGGGGTGAGACAATCCATGTAGCTGCTTACGGGGGTGAGACAATCCATGTAGCTGCTTACAGGGGTGAGACAATCCATGTAGCTGCTTACGGGGGTGAGACAATCCATGTAGCTGCTTACAGGGGTGAGACAATCCATGTAGCTGCTTACGGGGGTGAGACAATCCATGTAGCTGCTTACGGGGGGTGAGACAATCCATGTATCTGCTTACAGGGGTGAGACAATCCATGTAGCTGCTTACAGGGGTGAGACAATCCATGTAGCTGCTTACGGGGGTGAGACAATCCATCTAACACTGGCAGGGGTGATTACAGTGATCCGCTTTTATTCATGTAAAACCTTTATTCCAAATGGAAAAACACTGTTTGCTGTAACGGTTTATTATTTGTGAGCTGGAGTTCGCTTCAATTTGTTATTGTACTCAAATTCTGCTATTTTAACACTCCCCTCCTTCCAGACTGAAAATGCTGCTGACTGCTGTGCCTCCTGTGCTCATTCAGGTTTGTTACTGGCCAGATCACCAGGTGAAAACGGGGGGGGGGGGGGGGGGAAAGGAGAAGCCAGTGAAAATAAAAACAATGCAGTCACAATATCTATTGACTGATTAGCGAAATATATAGGAAGATGGTGTGAGACTTTTAAGGATATATAGATCTAGTATGTTTTATTATCCTAAATCGTAAAATGTGTGTGTGTGTTGTGTTTTTTTTTTTTTTTTTTTTCTTCCAAATATTAACCTTACATTTTAGAAAAACAATAGTTTTAAAACTCATTAAATACATATCTTCCCATGGACGATGGGGAAGCACTGTGAGTTTCAGCAGAATCGGCAAGATAACCCGACACGTTTCAGGATATCTTTAGTTCTTTCATCAGGGATAAGTTGAAGAGAAGTGATGACGAAGTCACCTTTCATCTGGGATAAGTATTGATCTATATGAAACCACCAGAAAATTAAAATTGCCTGAATTGCGATCTATTAAACATCACCAGGTGAAGAGACCACACTGAAACCCCAGATGGACGGGTCACGGAGAACTCACACCAGGGTCCCCCGCAGTTGGCAAATGATACCAAAGGCACCACCTAATATGCAAAGGCCTCTCCATTCCTGGGGAAAAAAAATTACCGTGTCCTTAGATATGCTGCCAATAGATAATGCACTGGGCGAAATATGTATAATTTTTGGTTAATAGCGCTTTAATTCTCCATGGAGAATTTTGGTGTTGCCAAACTCTCCAGTGGAAATCTGAAAAATGGCCTCCAGAAAGGATAACAAGTCAGCCCAACTCACACTAGAACTGTGGCTGTCACAACAAGACTGAGTGACACATCCCGCCAGGATGAGAGTCCACATTTAAGCGGAGCTACACTTCATTTGAGCACCACAAACCAAAAACATGATTTAATTATTCAAAGCAAATTCATCCATGTCTCCATGCTTCATTTTGTTGAGAAATCACCTAGCATTTTTTGGCCATGGCCATCTTGAGTAAAAGCAGATGATTCAAATAGCATTTGTCCTGGAATACATCTGCCCTTAGCTCAGGCACGTAAGCAGGAGGGTTCACTTAGCTGAGAAAACCCTTCCTGAAGACTCATGGGATGAGTTTGCCTAGGCCTAGAAACCAGGAAGTAACTGTAGAAATGTAAAAAAAAGTATAAAACTAAATCTGTAAAAAAAAGTATAAAACTAAATCTGATCTACTTTCATATCTACGAATGCTAGCGGCATAAGGATTTAAAATAGTCAGTTTTGATTGAGTGTGAAGATCTGTTTTAAGGACCCAGTGGAGAATTAATCTTGGCTTACTCAACAGATGAAAGAAATTGTTTTTTGGTGTTTTATTTCATGGTGAGTCAACACCACTTGATATTTGTTGTAGGTTGGGTACTGTAGGCTCTCTCCAGTGTTGAGATCTTGCTATAATTCCAGGCACTGATCTGAATATTGAGTTTCATTATCCGCTTAAAAAAATCCAATGAAGAGTGGTACCCCTTGTAATTGCCATGGTAGGTGTACAGTCTTGAGTTATCTCACCACCAGGTTCTCATAGAGATACAAAAAAATCCTATATCTATTTTCAGCAATTTCTAATACTCTGCTGGATACTTCACTTTTTTTTTTTTTTTTTTTTTTTTCCTCAAACTATGTTTGTACTTTCAGGATTGTGGTGCGGACTGTGCAAAGTTCCAGAAAAGTGAACTAGAGTACAAATTCAACAAAAAAGCCTTAGAAAGACCATACACTTCTCCACATTCCTGGGGAAAGACCTACGGGGAACACAAATGCCACCTGGAGTTCAGCCATGATCAGTACCGAGAGCTACAAAAGTTTGCAAAGGAAATAGGCATTTATTTTACAGCCTCTGGAATGGATGAGGTAAGATTAAAAGAATATGCATGAAAAGGGAGTTTTGATTCAGGCAATATTTGCACAGGAATTCAGAAGATATTCGCATTTCAGACATTTCTAACCACAAAGCTGCTTAGACTTTAGTTATGTCGTGTTCTAAAGATGGAATGGCAGCTAATGTGTCAGACAAATTCTTCTGAATGCCTTATATAGGAATACCTATGTCCAACCTCCTTTTAACCACTTGACCTATGGAAGGTTTTACCCCCTTCATGACCAGGCCACTTTTTGCTGTTTAGCACTGTGCAACTTTTTTCACACAGAGCTTTAGGTGGTATTTAATCACCACTGTTTTTTTGTTCTCGAGAGAGGGAGAGAGGCTTGTTAGTTTTTCTTATAAAATATAATCTGCTACATTTTCTTTAGTAAAAATAACCCAAATCTGTGTATTTCATCTGTGTGGGTCAAAATTGATGGCATTTTGTTTTTTTGAAATTGTAGTCCTTTTGGGAAGGGGTGGACTATCGCATGGTATAGGGTGCTGTGATTGGTACAGGTATCATGTGATAGCTGTGGGCCAATCACCGTATCGCAATAGTAAGCAAGCTGTCATGAATGAATGAAATCCATTCATGACAGGTGTTATGATTGCTATGATTGGTCATAGCAAACACATGATATCCTGTCTGCTCACAGAGCACTGCGGCATACAAGTGTCGTGGGGCCTGTGGAACCCAATAGCAGTAACTGTACTGTTGGAGGGTGGCAAGTGGTTAAAGAGTCCTCATTGTATTTTTGTTCTATTCCATCTCCTGCCTGAGTAGAGTGCTGAGAACAGGCATAAAAACAATGGTGCAAACAGGCTCACTCTGTCCAGAAGGGCTCCCTTTTCCAACCCCTTCTGGAAAAAGCTAGTGAACAATAGCCTTGTGTTATGCAAAGATACATATGTTAAGAGGCTGCCCAGTAAAATATGTGGTCCATGGCATCACTGTGATTGTTTGATTTGTTGATGTATCATGGCAATCTATGAATTCCTTACATCTCAAAATGACAAGGCCGCCTAAGAAATATCTTCCACAACCAGGCCATGGGGCTGTATTTCTATTAATATGATGCACTTTCTAGTAATATGATGCACCTAGCATACCAAGCCACACCTTATAAATCTCATTGCTACCTACATGCACATCTTGTACTTATGTTATTACATCTTACTTGTGGGGGTAGCACTTCAATGTCATCTTTATTCTGATTTTGTTTTTTGCTTATTTATTCTCAAGTAGTTTTGTACATGAGAAAACCTTCAATAAACACCAAAAAAAAAAATGGTGCCGTCAGGATAACATGCGTGCAAACTATTATCAGTTTACAGTTTTGCTCTCCTCCAGCATCTCAGGCATAGTCTATCTGCTTTGAGTCAGGTAGGAGAAGATTTCCACTCCACGAGATTCTAAGGCTGCATTCACACTTGAGAGCTTTGTAGCTCGAAGCTCCAAAAACACTAAACGTAAAAAAGGTATTCTCTATGGTGCCTGTTCGCATGTTCAGGTGTGAACAGGCACCATAGAGGATGATTTATTTTCTAAGTGTGAGCAAAATTTTTTGGATCTTCGAGTTTCAAGCTACGAAATGCTCAAGTGTGAATGCAGCCTAAGAACCATTGTTGCCGGGTTTTCTTTGCAGACACAGTTGACCCGCTTCCTATTTGCTCAGTATGGTAGCTCTAAAGCAATCTCAAACTAATGTCAAAAGAACGTGGAGAGAATACAACAAAATAACAGCACATGTAGCTCTTTGAACAAGAAAGCTTTGCTATTGCAAAAACTTAATGGCCCAGATTAACAACTCTTTGATCATATAAGCCACTACAATAGAGCTCCCAAATATCTTTGTACGTTTTCCTGCTAGCATTTCTTTGTTTTGTACATGGACTGTGGTTCTTGGGCAGTACTCCCAGCTCATTCCCAGCAACTATAAAATGTTAACTGTGCCGCAGTAGTGTAAAGCCAGCTTACATGTGACTGCGTTAATTACCAGCTGCTAGCCTCGGATAGAAGGAGGCAGACCCCAGACTCAAGGTAAGCAGAAGATGGTAGCAGCAGTGATGGAGCAGCAGCAGGGAGTGTGGAGTTCCAATTGCTGGAGGATGGCAGTCCCAATGTATATGTGCTTGAGAAATGTTGCTGGGGCTACCTTTTTTCCCCAACCACCACTAACGTTTCACTTTATTGTGAAGACCATGGAATCCAGGACACAAAACTTAACACAGCAGAAACACTTATTTATATCACAGTTTAAAAATTGTATGCATGTTAACATGTGGTTTTCTGTTTCAGATGGCTGTGGAATTTCTACATGAACTGGGGGTTCCATTCTTTAAAGTTGGGTCAGGGGACACAAATAATCTGATCTATTTAAAAAAGACAGCCCAGAAAGGTTGGTAAAATCGCTATACTCCTATATTTTATTTATTTATTTTTTTTTATTCACTAAGGAAAAGGGGCCCCAAGTGCCTGGTGCTCATAAAATGGGAGACCGTAAAGAATTGGGCAATGGTGCATCTGTGCTATAGACTGAAACCAGTGATTTTACATTTAAGGTCTGTGTAGATGGGCAGACAAGTATGCTTTCAGATCCATTTATAATACAGGTATACCTCGGTTTACGAATTTAATGTTTTCTGTAGGACGTTTCGTATTGTGAGAAATTTGTAAACCGAAATGCGGTTTCCAATAGGAATGCATTGAAAACCAATTAATCCGTTCCAGAGGTCAGAAAGTCTTATCTGTTCAAAACTCTTTATAAAGTGCACTTTAAAGGCATAAATACTGTACAGGGACATGATTAAAAATTTCCAGAATGGCTCCAAAACTCGATGCAAAAACTGCTCCAACACCTCCACACTCGACGCCACATGCTACCCAGACTCCAGCATGCACGGGGCTGGCGCTATAAACCTCCCAGGTGCAATTCATCCTGGGGAAGCTGGTTTTCAGTGCATTTACGAATGTTTTTCGCAATCCGAAGCAAGTTTCCCCAGGATGAATTGCACCTGGGAGGTTTATAGCGCCAGCCCTGTGCATGCTGGAGGCTGTGGGTAGCACGTGGCGTCGAATGTGGAGGTGCTGAAGCGGTTTGTGCATCGAGTTTTAGAGCCATTCTGGAAATTTTTAATCATGTCCCTGTACAGTATTTATGCCTTTAAAGTGCACTATATAAAGAGTTTTGAACAGATGAGACTTTTTTGTTTTTATACTTTTTTCTGACCTCCAGAATTTATTTATTGGTTTTCAATGCACTTGCGAAAAAAATTTGTAATACGAAGCAAATTAATCCATTCCATTGGTTCGAAAAAAGTAAAAAGTCTTATCTGTTCAAAACTCTTTATAAAGTGCTCTTTAAAGTCATGGGGCCGGCGCTATAAACCTCCCAGGTGCAATGCATCCTGGGGAAACTTGCTTCGTATTGTGAAAAAAAAAATTGTAAACCGAGGTATTTTCAATGGATTTTCATTCGTAAACCAAAAATTACGTTAACCGAGGCGTTCGTAAACTGAGGTACGCCTGTACTTCTATAGTAATTTTGAATTCCCTCACAGGGACCTGAAATTAAATGACCCAGTTGTGTTATTGCACAGAAAACATAATCATATTTAGAATGCGTTTATACAGTATCGGTAATGGATGTTTTTTTTTTTTCAAAGAAACTTTAAAAATATTTTATCTGCTTTAATAAAATTTTAAAATGGGAGCCACATAAATATTGTGCATGTCCCCAGCATATGGGCTTTGAAAGGATGCATACCATGCTTTCCCTTCAGAGCTGTGTGCGGTAAACCGTGTACTATGTGGACACAAGGCAAACTAATGCTGAATGTACAGCAACTGCCTGCATATACCTTTTTGACTGCCATCACCCTGATCTGTTGTATAGAGTGAGGCACTCCCCTGTGTGAAAGAACTTGAGCCTGGTGATTGGCTAATGAGACACCCACTGCTGACTTGTATGAGGCAGGAGACCTGTACATGTTCCCAATATCCAGTACCTTTGATTGCTTTGGCCTTCTATGTTGGATTAGGGCAGCTGGAAGTACAGTAACTGCTATACATTTGATATTCTTGACACTATTGCAAATACATGGCAGTACAAGATAGTCAGCCTGGGTTCACATTTGTGCGGTGCGGCATATCGCATGTGATTCGTACAGGAACCGCACTGCATTTCTGTGCAAATCACATGCGATTGCGGTGCGATTTGAGCCATACATTCTGTATAGCTCAAATTGTACTGCACCTGCACCAAAAAAGTTGCAGGACTTTTTTTTTTTTTTTTTTTTTTTTGGTCCACACTAAAATCAGACCGCAAGGGTATTCACATCCGATTCTACTCATCAGTGTTTTGTGGACCGATTTTGGGGTGTTAACTTACACACCTGCAGCGGTTCACGTGAACTAGGTGTGATTGTGATGCGGTGCAGAATTCGCACAAAAACCGCTGCAAATCCTGCACCACATCAGTGTAAACCCAGACTCATTTTTTTTGTCTAGCCCTCTATCAAGCTAGGAGTAGATGGTTACCTGTACTGTAAGGCCTCTTGCACACGATACTGATTGAGCATCTGGGTTTTTTTTAATCCATAATTTTAGCCATTTTTGCATGTATTTGTCTGCATTGGTGCATATGCACATACAATGTATTCTTAGGGAAAATTCATAATTTATGCTCTTACTTTTTTTTTTTTTTTTTTGTATTTTTCCTGAAGAATACAAGTCACTTGTTTACGAGCCTGTGTGTAAAGGTACATTGTAAATAATGGGTCACATTTTACCTCAGTGTAAAAACAACCAAAAAAACTGTACTGAGCTTTTTCAAGCTGCAGTATGCAAGAGGCCTAATGCACGCAACAACTTTATTACACTGGGTAATATTCCTTGTGAAACATTTCACTGTATACTTTTTTTAATTTTTTTTCTTTCCTGCCCTTTTTAGGTCGACCTATGGTCATTTCAAGTGGTATGCAGTCAATGGATACCATGCGCCGTGTTTATGAACTTGTAAAACCAATCAATCCAAACTTCTGTATACTGCAGTGTACTAGTGCATATCCCCTTCTTCCAGAGGATGTCAATCTACGTGTAATACAGGTGAGGGTTTTTTTTTCTTTGTATACTAATCTTTAAAATCAAGTTTTTTTTTTTATTCAGCTATGAGCAATATTTGAGGAGGTAACGGGGTCTGCATTTAAAAATATTTATTGTAGAATTTGACGTGCACACCACATAACCACTTGCCCCAAATTAGGCATTCTTTATCTATTTATTTTCTTCCAGCATGAAAAGCCAATATCTTATTGATGATTTATCAGTGTGCCTCAGAAATGAATGCTCAAATTACCTGGGCAGCACAGTGGCTAAATGGTTAGCACTTCCGCCGGGCAGTACTAGGGTTGTTGGTTCGAATCCCAACCACGGCACCACCTGCCTGGAGTTTGCATGTTCTCCCTGTGCCTGCGTGGGTTTCCTCCCACACTCCAAAGACATGCTGGTAGGTGAATTGGCTCCTGTCTAAATTGGCCCTAGTATGTGTGTATGAATGTGAGTTAGGGACCTTAGATTGTACACCCCTTGAGGGTTAGGGACTGATGTGAATGTACAATATATATGTAAAGAGCTGCATAAATTGACAGCGCTATATAAATACCTATAATAAATAAATGAATAAATTACCTGGCCTATTACAGAATATGTCCGCTCAAAACTGGACATGTTTAAGTGGACTGTGGCTGATTTGGTAGAGATTATTTGGGGGGAAAAGCACAGGTAAGCTGACTCCATTCAGTGGTATATAAAGTGAAAGCCAAGATGTGTCCGAACTAGGAGACTAACTAGCTTGCTATGAGAACTACCTGTGGGTTCTCCCAAGAGTTTGATGAAGTTGGCTTGTGATGTGGATGTATTTAGTAATCAGACAAAGGTAAATGTGTTGCTCAACCTTTTCAAACTAACCAGTCTTGTCTTAGGCATGCTCCTTCACTGAAGTACACAAGGAGGGGTTATTTACTAAACCAGAGCATGCAAAATCTGGTGCAGCTCTGCATTGACAATAAAACCTAGAAGCTGTTTGGTTTCTAAGCTTAACTGAACAAGCTTAATTTAGAGGCTGATTGGCTACCTTCCACAGCTGCACCAGTTTTTAGTAAATCTCCCCCAAGGTGTACATCACAAACTGTTCTGCTCTCCCTGCCACTTTCAGTGGCAATTCATGCCAGGACCTACTGTGTGTGAATACAGTAGCCAGATCTAGCCACTGCTTTAAAAAAAAACCTAACCTTTTGATCAGTGTTTGCAAACATTGTTCTGTAGTAATTCAGAAATACAGAGTAAACATTGTTACATTTTCACTGTTTTTACACTGCTCAAAAAAAAATGAAAGGAACACTTTGAAAAACACATCAGATCTCAATGGGGAAAAATATCATGCTGGATATCTATACTGATATGGACTGGGTAGTGTTAGGAATGTAAGGATGCCCCATTGTTTGATGGAAATGAAAGTTATCAACCTACAAAGGACTGAATTCAAAGACACCTCAAAAATCAAAGTGAAAAAATGATGCAGCAGGTTAGTCCAATTTTTGAAATTTCATTGCAGCACCTCCAAAATGGCACCCACGTGCTTGTATGCATGCCTGAGAAGGTCGGGGCATGCTCCTAATGAGACGGATGGTGTTCTGGGGTATTTCCGCCCAGATCTGGACCAGAGCATCACTGAGCTCCTGGACAGTCTGAGGTGCAAACTGATGGCGTCTGATGGACCAAAACATGATATCCCAGAAGTGTTCTGTTGGATGTAGGTTAGACAAGCATGGGGGCCTTTCAGTGCTGTCAATTCCTTCATCCTCCAGGAACTGCCTGCATACTCTCGCCACATGAGACCGGGCATTGTCATGCACCAGGAGGAACCCAGGAACCACTGCACCAGCGTAGGGTCTGACAATAGGTCCAAGGATTTCATCCCTATACCTAATGGCAGTCAGGGTGCCATTGTCTAGCCTGTAGAGGTCTGTGCGTCCCTTCATGGATATGCCTCCCCAGACCATCACTGACCTGCAACCAAAACTGTAATGCTGAACAATGTTACAGGTAGCATAACGTTCTCCACGGCTTCTCCAGACCCTTTCATGTCTGTCACATATGCTCTGGGTGAACCTGCTCATCTGTGAAAAGCACAAGGTGCCATTGGTGGACCTGCCAATTCTGGTGTTGAATGGCAATCGAGCTCCATGGTGTCGGGCAGTGAGCACAGGGCCCACTAGAGGACGTTGGGCCCTCAGACCACCCTCAGGAAGTCTGTTACTGATTGTGTGGTCAGACTTTCACACCAGTGGCCTGTTGGAGGTCATTTTGTAGGCCTCTGGCAATGCTCACCCTGTTTCTCCTTGCACAAAGGAGCAGATACCGGTCCTGCTGATTGGTTAAAGACTTTCTGCGGCCCTATCCAGCTCTCATAGAATAACTGCCTGTCTCCTGGAATCTTCTCCATGCTCTTGAGACTGTGCTGGGAGACACAGTAAACCTTCGACCCCCAAAACAGGAATGGTTTTACTGGTGGTCTCATTGTTGGCCATGTAGTGCACCTTTTGTTAATTTCATGAACACCAAAGCGGCAGAAACTGATTAACCCCCTCTGCTACTTAACTGACCAGATCAATATCCCAGGAGTTTAATTGACTTGATGCTATACTCTGATTAAAAAGTGTTCCTTGAACCTCCTTTTTGCTACATAGCGGCAGGGGTGCACAAAATCGTATGTATATGTGTGTATGTATATGTGTGTATGTATATGTGTGTATGTATATGTGTGTGTGTGTGTATATGTGTGTGTGTATATTGTGTATGATTTTGCATTTCCGGGTAGGAGTTATCTCCCATGTCAGCTCCAGCGCACTGCTTTGTATGGCCCTGCATTTTTTTTTTTTTTTTTTTTGTAAATGGCGCAAAAAATAAACGCACAGGCGATCAAATACCACCGAAAGGAAGCTTTATGGGGGGGAAAAGGTGTAAATTTAATTTGGGTGCAATGTTGCATGGCCGCACAATTATCAGTTAAGGTAACTTTGCGCCGTAATGCAAAAATGGCCTGGTCAGGAAGGGGGGAAAATCCTCTGGAGGGCAAGTGGTTAAATTTTTTTTTGAAATGTGTATTTTTCTAAAGATCACAAGGGTAAGCTTCAATCTGCATATGATGTTGGTAAAAGCAATCTGACAAGTTTAAAAAAACCATTAACCCTAACTTTTTAATATTTCGTCTTTTCGTTTTATCAATTTTGTTAGAGTTGCATTTTTTTATTATTTTTTTTTAATTGTAACAATTTTAGTATGTTTATAAATGGGACAGATTACACAAAAATATATACTTTTTATCTACTGTGGCACTTTTTTTTCTTTTAACTAGCACTGGTCAAAGTACAGAAGTGCTTTAACGTTTTGTTTTTTTTTTTAGATTTTAAGATTCCTATACCCTTTTTTTGCTTTGAGATTGCATTTCAAATGAAATATATTTTTACAAAATATTACCAAAAGAGCTGTTTGTTCTGAATAAAAAATGTCCTATATTACATGGATCTTAAGTTATCACTGAAAAAACAGGCCCATAGCAAAATGTAAACATTACTCTGATCCACAAGGATCAATAATTGAGGGCCTGCATTTCTTGTAATGGGAACTAAAGTATATGATTAGGAAAAAAAAATATAATGGTGGCTTTAATGCACAATTATTATTTTTTCTTTTAATTAAGCTGTGCACTTTTTAAAGTTTTTTTTTTGGTTTTTTTTTTTTCCCGTTTTGGACTCAAGTGTAGAAAAATCAGTGAAAGGTTCTGCTACCAAATGTCGTCATTATTTTATCGGTATGTGCAGTTCTGTTGCACTACAGCACTTGCTATTTAAAAGAAATGGCAAGAGTCTCATACTACTTGGGGCTACAACTCATAGACTGCTTGTATGACTGTAATTATTAGAATATGAAAATTTCTTGACACACATTTAAAGATTGCCTGTTTTTACTTTCTAGGAATACCAGAAAGCCTTCCCAGATATCCCTATTGGATACTCCGGCCATGAAACTGGTGTTGCTATTACAGTTGCAGCTGTTGCCATGGGTGCCAAAGTAGTTGAACGCCATGTTACTCTAGATAAGACCTGGAAAGGAAGTGACCACCAGGCTTCATTAGAGCCAAATGAACTGGCTGAGCTGGTCAGATCTATCCGGACTGTGGAAAAAGCCATGGGTTCTATTGAGAAACGGCGTTTGCCTTGTGAAATGGCTTGTCACGACAAGGTAACGTTAATATTCTTAAGTATTTTTTTCCTTGAACTGTATATATACTTTGTGTGGTGTTTTGGTTTTTTTTTTTTTTTGTTTTTTTTTTCATATGTTTTTTTTTTTTCCATTGAGGACTGGTTTGAGTATTTGGATCCAAAGGACACAAGTCTTGTGGTTGCCTATCTCATATTAGCTGATTCAGGTGGCTTGGGTCATAAGTGAAGTTCTTAAAATAGGAATTTGATGTTTATGTGAGAACACATCTACTCACTGGACACTTTATTGGGTACACTTGTTCAATTGCTAATTGGCTAATCACATGGCAGCAACTCAATGCATCTGGGCATCTAGACATGGTGAAGACGACTTGCTGAAGTTAAAGCCAAGCTTCAAAATCTGGAAGAAAGGAGATTTAAATGACTTTGAATGTGGCATGGTTGTTTATGCCAGACTGGTGTGAGCATTTCAAATCATTGCTGACCTACTGAGATTTTCATGCACAACAATCTCTAGGGTTTAGAGAATGGTCCAAAAAAGAGAAAATATCCAGTGAGCAGCAGTTGTGTGGACAAAAATAATTTGAGGTCAGAGGGGAATGGGCAGACTTCTTCAGGTGCAGCATTAAGATAGTAGGGTCAGAATTTGACAGACATTAAATCATGGAACCATCCTGCTATGTATCAATGGTTCAGACTGGTGGTGGTGTAATGGTGTGGGGGATATTTTCTTGGCACTAGCAAAGTGTACCCAATAAAGTGGCTGAGTTTTATGCCTGGTATTCTGTGTATGTCAAGAAAACTTACTTTGTTTTCCTCTCTCATAAAATAACTAATTTCTCATGGTATTTTTGTTTTGTTTTTTTTTTTTGGTTTTCTGAAATGATTCTAGTCTGGATTTGTGTTTTGTACAACTACAGGAAGTTATATCCCCTTCTGCAGATTAAATACACACTCTTGCTTTGCTCTGAAAGAAAAGTGACACTCTTGCCAGTTCACCCACCGACCCACTTAAAATTGCCTTTCTCACTGGTCCTCCTTCTGTTGGAGTACTCAGTACTACCAGGTACGGGGGAGCATGGCACCACCTCCCAGAATTCAGCGTTCAAGTCGGGTCAGTCGGTACCAGAGAAAAGCTTTGTAAATCTCACATAAAGGCCAAAGCCATGTACTGCATAATCTGCAATGCAGAACATGGTTAGGTCTGCAGAGCAATGGTGTGGAAGGGATAGAGAGTGTAAATGGGACATGGTGTGTGCTTTAAAGAGACTGTTGCTTTGTCGTAAATGGCCAAAGTTACAGTCTCTTTAAAGCACCTAGCTCATTTCTGAGCATCGTAATATCAAACTTTAACTTGTTTTTAAATGGCTTGTGGTAGAAATACAGTCAAACTGGAAACTGCCATGGCTGGTTGACAGTCGTCTTGCTGCCTTAAAGTGAACCTATTGCCTTGGGCATGGACAAAGTAACATGGACAAAGTTTACTTTATTGTATGGACAGAGGGAATTGACTTTCCAGTTCTGTCTCCTTGATCTGTGGGCCAGGCCCCCTCCTTGGTTTGAACAAATCTTAAATAGGTTTTTGCACCACAACTCAATGCCTGTTTTTTAGGCTCACAGATTGGCTACTTATGAACCAAGTGTTGCATTGTTAGAGTCTCAAATATTTTCCCTATATCTGGAAGTCCTGGATATTTTCCAGGCTTTGGCAGGGAATGAGTGGAAAGAAAGTAAAGCCTGCCACAAACTCCACCAAATGAAATAAGTAGCAGCCTGCAAAAAGGAGATGAATGCTTCCTTTTCTGCAATACATGCCCATTTACCATGTTTTATCCTTTAAATTTTTGCTCAGTACTTGCAGCATTTTTAATCTTGGGCTGACAATGCCTCTGTTGCACTGAAATCCAAGTTGCATGGTTGATCCTACCATGGTTCTTGTCTGCTGAGCCACAGAACTCTTCCTATTCCCCACCCCGCTGTCGCTCTCAACATCCATACATTACTTTTCCAGTAAAACCATACTCCTAAATATATGCCTTCTCACTGTTGGCAGTTAAAGGGCTCTTCGGAGATATAGTTTTGGAGCAAGGGTGGGGGTAGAGCGTAGTTTTGTATACATCAATGGAAACTGACCTGGCCTGCTCGTATCGGCATTGTTGTATGTGATTTTTTTTTTTTTTTTTTTTTTTTTTTTTTTTTTAAGCAATACTCCATGTGTTTTTTGTGAGTGCATTGTTTTATTTGGGTACAATAAATGTTTCTTACAGTGAGCACTTTGCCAGCTTTTATCTTTTTATTTTGCGAGATGCACATACCTCACTTTACCTGGGCTTCATGTGTGCTGAGAATCATGGATCAGTTTTGAAGGAGAGGAGAGTCAACAGAGGCTGGGATGAGATTAACGTTCTTTATGACGTTTCTTGTGGGGGGTCATTATTTTACGGTGAGGGTGTGTCCAAAGGGATATTGTGGTGAAGGCTTTCCTTTACACACTGGTTCTCAAGAATTGAAGAGGATGTCCAACAGTGGATTGTGGTTTATACTTCTCTGTACACTGTTATTTCACATTTCACTATTGGGACTGAAATCCCAGGACTTGTTTTTATGTGTGTATATTAATATGTTTCACGTTTATTTTTTACTTTGGTTATTGCTTATAGCGCTGCAAGTTTTTATATAAAACCTTCAGGCTTGTTCATGCCACTTGTATTGGGTTTGACCAACAGGTCAACAAAGTCCCATCACATGGACAAGGCAAAAAACTTTTTTTTTTTTTTTTTTTTTTTTTTTTTTTGCCAGTAACACCAACATGCTGAATTGGTAATGGGTATGTGCTGAGACAAAATAGGGCAGATAGCATTTTAGCTCTGCAGTGCAAATTGGGTCAGACAAAATAACAGTACTAAAATAGGCAAAAAATGCATCACATGTCATTAACACAATGTAGAGCACCAAAACGCTTATTAAAAACAAATCAAACGTGCTGATTTGTGTTGTGAACCTAGCCTAACCGGTTTTTTCCATTGGAAACCAGTTATATCCCAAGTAAAAAAAGCCTGTTAGCATGCTGCAAATGAGGACCCTTGATTTCTGTGTAGAAGCAATGGGGTGGATTTACTAAAGGCAAATAGTTGGTGCACTCTGCAAGCGCAGTTGCACCAGAGCTTAGTAAATGAGGGGAATCTCTGCTGATTTTTACCATCCAATCAAATGCAAGCAAAAATGCAGTTTATTTTCTTTGCATGTGTTTTGGATATTTGTACAGTGCACCTTTACCTCCATTTACTAAGCTCCAGAGCAAGTGCACCAAAGTGTCAATATTTTGTGTGACCATTATTTTCGAGCACTGCCTTAACCCTCTTGGGCATGGAGTTCACCAGAGCTTCACAGGTTGCCACTGGGAGTCCTCTTCCACTCCTCCATGACGACATCACGGAGCTGGTGGATGTTAGAGACATTGCGCTCCTCCACCTTCCGTTTGAGGATGCCCCACAGAAGCTCAATAGGGTTTAGGTCTGGAGACATGCTTGGCCAGTCCATCACCTTTACCCTCAGCTTCTTTAGCAAGGCAGTGGTCGTCTGGAAGTGTATTTGGGGTCGTTATCATGTTGGAATACTGCCCTGCGGCCCAGTCTCCGAAGGGAGGGGATCATGCTCTGCTTCAGTATGTCACAGTACATGTTGGCATTCATGGTTCCCTCAATGAACTATATAGCTCCCCAGCGGTTTAGCCATTAATGGCTGCTGTGTGTTGAGTTATTTTGAGGGGACAGCAAATTTACACTGTTATACAAGCTGTACACTCACTACTTTACATTGTAGCAAAGTGTTATCTCTTTAGTGTTGTCACATGAAAAGAGAGAATAAAATATTTACAAAAATGTGAAGGGTGTGCTCACTTCTGTGAGATACTGTACCACCATTTTCAAGTCTTTAGGCAGCATGTTTGTCAGCAGATGTGCAATTATGAATGTGTGTGTCCAACAAATAACTTTCAAAAAGTGAATGTAGTTTGATTTTTTTTTTTTTTTTTTTGATTTTGGAAAGATAGTCATTTCCCTAAAGAAAACAAAATTCTGAAGATCTTTGACATTTTGTCCAGTCATTGAACATTCAAAAAATGTTCGCACAAATGCTTGTTTGAAAATCTACTAGGGTACTTAAAGTGATACTAAAGTCTTGTTTGTTTTTTTTTAAATATGTCCTACCTGCTGTGGGCAGTGGTTTTGCAGAGAAACCCGGATCCTCCTCCTCCTCTTCAGGTCCCTCGTCGGTGCTCTTGGCCCCTCCCTCCTGTCAGGCGCCCCCACAGCAAATGGCATGCGCGCTTCCAAGCCACTGCTATGCGTGTCCATTCACACACAGAGGCTCGGCTCAGCTCTGCCCCCTCCTTCTCCTGACTGGCTCACTGGAAGTGACTGACAGCCAATGGCTCCCATTGCTGCCTCAGCCAATCAGGAGTGAAAGTCCTGGGAGAACCGAGGTTCTCATGGACAGATCACTAGGTCGCTAGATCAGGATGGGGTCGGGGGGAGGGGGGGTGCTGGGGAGCTGCTACACACAATGCATGAAGGTAGAAAACCGTGTGTGTGTGTGTGTGTGTGTGTGTGTATAGAACAGCTCAGACAGGGAGGGGGGGGGCACACAATCCAAATCAGTTGTGCTGAAGTGCTCATTGGCCAACGAGGAGAATGCTTGATAGGATTGAATAGAGTAAGATGAGCTCATCAGTCTGCTTCTTTTTACTCTCCAGTCACAAGCTTGGAGAGGGACAAGACCTGTATGTGTTAAACACAGCAGAATAAAATAAGGTCTCCTGCCTTGCTGTGTCAGTTGGGTAAATCGTGGTGCTGAATATATAGAGAGGGGGGAGAAAGGGAAATCTAGCCAGTGAAACAAGTCACATATGTGTTTGGTGTATTTAGTGGTTTGCCTAGAGTTCACCTCCAACATGTAGACTTCCTGCTTGAATGCTTTATCCTTAAAATATCTTTTGTTGATCAGCCATGACATTGTGAACACCCACCATAACTCGTAATAACCTCAAAGTATGCTGTGGTATCTAGAATCAAGCCATCAGCAGATCCTTGAAGTCCTGTAAGTTGTGAGGTGGGCCTCCATAGATCAGACTTGTTTTTCCAGCACATCCCACAGAGGCCCTATTGGATTGCAATCTGGAGAATTTGGAGGCCAAGGCAACACCTTGAACTTGTGTTCATCAAACCATTCTTGAAATACTCATACCAGGCCACCTTCTTCCATTGCTCTGTATTCCAGTTCTGATGCTCATGTGCCCATTGTAGGCACTTTTGGCTGTGGACACAGGTCAGCATGGGAACCCTGTTTGATCTGTGGCTACGCTGCCCCATACGCAACAAACTATGATGCACTGTGTGTTCAGGCAGCTTTCTGTCAAAACCATCTTTTTCAGCAGTTTGAGCTACAATAGCTCTTCTGTTTGATTGGACTACATGGGCCAGCCTTCACTCCCCAAGTGCATGACCTCCCATACCCCTGTTGCCAGTTTGCCAGTTCTTTCCTTGGACCACTATTGGTAGGTCCTGACCACTTCAGACTGGAAATATCCCACAAGAGCTTCAGTTTTGGGGATGCCCTGACCATTTGTCTGGACATTACAATGTGGCCCTTGTTAAAGTTGCTCAGATCCTTACTCTTGCCCGTTTGTTGTTTTTTATTTTCTTTCTGCTTTCAAGACGTCCACTTCAAGGATAACATGTTCACTTTTCTGCTGAATATATCCCACTTGCTTTCAGATGCCATTGTAACAAGATAATCTGTTCTTCACTTTACTTGTCATTGGTCATAATGTTATGGCTGATTGGTGTGTGTGTGTGTGTGTGTGTGTGTGTGTGTGTATATATAAAAAAAAATGTAATCTTTTATTTTATTGCAGGCTCTGTTGCTTTTGTTTTGTGCAGTTCATGCTGGTATGTTTAAAAAAGTAAATAATAAATATTTATCTTTCAGCTTGGTAAATCTGTTGTTGCAAAGACAAAATTCCTGCAGGCTCCGTGATCACTCTCAACATGTTGACGATAAAGGTAGCCGAGCCGCATGGCTTCCCCCCAGAGGAGGTTTGTGACCTTGAAGGCAAGACTGTTAAGAGAGATATAGAGGAGGATGAATCTGTCACAGAAGAGGCCATTGAGAACTACAACACAAGAACTAAATGTTAACTGAATGAAGGGCTTGACACTCATCAGAATTTTTTTCCTGTCACCTCTTACCTTACCAATACATGTTATATGTAGAAGTCAATTGCACAGGTTGTTGGATCCTTTCCTTGATGAACATTTTCAGTGGCATGCCAGATGGTGTTGCTGTAACTAGATCTGTTAAGTCTCAATGGCAAGCAGTGCTGTTCGTTGTAAGGCTGTGAAAAAACTGCATGGCAATCACGATGTTTTGTAAGCAAATCTATCTTTGGAAACAAGCAAATCACAAAATTTTGTGGATGATTCTTAGTTTATTTACAAGCAAAAATATTTCTAAAAAAAAATTGGTTGAGCTGCTTTAAACTTGTGCTTCCTAAACTTTTTTTTTAATACATCTCATTGTTTGCAAGACCAAATGGCTTGGACAGATTACATCTCCATATATGATGACTGCATACATTGAGTGTTTTTCTGCAGCATGAGTTAAAACAATTAAAATCCTGAATCACACCTCATCTACAGTTGTGACCAAAATTATTCAAACCCCCACTGAAATTGAGTGTTTTGGCCAGTTTGACATTGCTTTTGATCATTCAGTCATCTTGCTTACATTTACATTAAAGAGGCACTTGTAGGTCAGACAAATATAACATAACAGTTATAATGAAATAACCACAAATGTCTTTTCTGTGCTCACAGCATTATCAGTTTTATTCAACCCCCAAGTGACATTCAATCTTAGTACTTTAGTACAGCATCCTTTTACAGTTATAACAGCTTTTAAACGTGAAGCATAGCTTGACACAAGTGTCTTGCAGCGATCTACGGGTATCTTCGCCCATTCTTCATGGGCAAAGGCCTCCAGTTCAGTCACATTCTTAGGCTTGCGCACTGCAACTGCTTTCTTTAAGTCCCACCAGAGGTTCTCAATCGGATTTAAGTCTGGTGACTGCGATGGCCACTCCAAAATGTTCCAGCCTTTCCTCTGCAACCATGCTCTAGTGGACTTGGAGGTATGCTTGGGATCATTGTCCTGTTGAAAGGTCCAACGTCTCCCAAGCCTCAGGTGTGTGACGGACTGCATCACGTTTCCATCCAATATCTCCTGGTACTGAAGAGAATTCATGGTACCTTGCACACGCTGAAGCTTCCCTGTACCTGCAGAAGCAAAACAGCCCCAAAGCATGATTGACCCTCCACCATGCTTCACAGTAGGCAAGGTGTTGTTCTTTTCATCATAGGCCTTGTTCTTCCTCCTCCAAACATAGCGTTGATCCATGGGCCCAAACAGTTCTAATTTTGTTTTCATCAGTCCACAGAACACTATCCCACAACTTTTGTGGTTTGTCCACATGGCTTTTGGCATACTGCAGTCGACTCTTCTTATTCTTTGGAGACAGCAAGGGGGTACGCCTGGGAGTTCTGGCACGGAGGCCTTCATTACGCAGTGTGCGTCTTATTGTCTGGGCTGAAACTTCTGTACCCACATCTGACAAATCTTTTCTCAGTTCCTCAGCAGTCACACGGGGACTTCTCTCCACTCTACGCTTCAGGTAGCGCACAGCAGTCGAAGTCAGCATCTTCTTTCTGCCACGACCAGGTAGCGTTTCAACAGTGCCCTTTGCCTTGAATTTGCGAATGATGCTTCCTAAGGTGTCTCTTGGTATGTTTAACATCTTTGCAATCTTCTTATAGCCATTGCCCTTCCTGTGAAGAGAAATCACCTCTTCTCTTGTCTTCCTGGACCATTCTCTTGCCTTCACCATGTTTGTAACCACACCAGTAAATGTCTAGAAGGAGCTGAGTATCACAGTCATTTTAAAGCTGCCTAATTGGTGCTTATTATGCTTGATTGCTGCTCGGTGACATCCACAGGTGTTTCAATACCTGATGGAAAGCACCTGTATGAACCTCTGTTCTTCAGAGTGGTAGTCTTTAAGGGGTTGAATAATTGTGGCAATGAAGAAACCACATAAGAACCATTTACTACTGTATTACATAAACAATTGATGTCATTTTAGTTGCATTTGGGTAGTTACAACGTCCTTGTAGGATTTGATTCTGAATACAATTCCAAATGTACACTATAGTCCCTAAACCCCTTTACAGCATTGGGGGTTGAATAATTTTGGTCACAACTGTAATTTTATAGCCATTTACAGCTTTTATTTATAGCATGTTAACTGACATCTAATTTGTTTGCTGTGTTTTTTTTAGCATGTTTGCATCCTATTCATCATAGTCCGCCAACAACACAACTGGCATCATTTACTTTGCCTTTTAATAATGAAGTGCACGCTTTGACCCAGGAACATGCCACTATTTATAAACTTTTCTCTGTATGCGCCACAATTTTCTGATTAATAATTAAATATAATTATTAATTATATTTCTCATTTTCAATTTGCTACTAGAATCTTGCACTTTGTAAAGATAAATTTTCAAGAATAAATGATTCTTTGTCAAGATTGGTTGTGTGTGTGTTTTGAATAGGTCTACTAAAAGAAATCACCATCACTGTGGTGTAATGATCTTATTTTCATGCTCAGTCAGGCCAGTTATGCAAAGTAAAAAACCCAATTAATGTTTAGAACGTCAACTGCTTGGCACCGGCCGCACACGTATATGTGGCTTCTCAGTGGGTGAGCTTTAACACCAAGAGGCCGCACGTATGTGTACCTAAAGATAAACAGACCTGTGCCGAGAGTATGTGCTATGCACACTCCCAGCACAGTTACCGGCGGCTGACAGCTCCCGATCTCTACTTATGATGGGGAGCTTTCCGATCATGTGACTGTTGTGACGGCCAATCATGGCAGTCATATGATCAGAAACCTCGCCTCCTGATATCTAAAACTCCTTAAAGGGGTTGATGTGGAGTCTGACTCCCAGGGCCCCACATTAGTTCTGGGCAGAGAAGATCTGGTTAGGGCCAGATTTCTATTACGTGGAGCCTTTAGGTGCCCAAAGCAAAACCATTTCTTTGAGCTAGAATTCTATTGTTAGGCAAGCCAAAGATGGTTCAACTTTCTTTCTTGCAGCCCAAATTTGCTCAATTTCCCCATCAACAGTCAGTATTGATGGAGGAATCCCTCCCGCAGCGCTATTCTGTTCTGCTGGCCGTGAGCTGGCAGAACACACTGATTACTGCCAGCAGCTATAGCTGCTGGCAGTAATCGCATGGAAAACGTCACAGGCTAGTTCTACCCAAGTGGATCAATGGATCTACTTGGATACAACTAGCCTGCCCATACATGGATTGAATCTCGGCCAGTCCCTGCTGTGAGATTAAATCCATCTATGACTAGCTTTGTCCCCTCCTTGCATTTTAAATTCATGTAACCTACCAATGTACAACTCTGAAGACTTTTGCTTCTACATTTTCTGACTAAACCTCACACTCTGTACTTAGGTTATCTGCATATCCTTCAGCTACCATGTAATATCCACAATAAATATCTATAAATATAACTAAACCACAGTGCTGCTACACCTTAACCCATGTTCTAAAACCTAAATAAAAAACCATACGTCTTGTGTGAGATGCCTAAAGTGAGAGCTTCTTTTGTCCACATATAAGGGCTATATTTATTTTAGAAGCACGAGTCCAGTTTTAATGTAAAGTATAGCTGCACTGTCCCAAAAAACTTGTGCCAGTAATCTCCAAAACAGAGTGCAAATTAATTTTGGTTGTATTTACTGTGAATGGTAATTCTGCCTGCAGCCTCAGGCTCTTAGAACATGCTAATGTGCTCTTAAAAACTGCATTGGTCAGAGTTATCAACTCCCCTCTTGGGAGCATAGTAGATCCCCTGTCTCCAAATTGGACCACTAATTGTGGCCAGGATTAGCTGGTATTCAACAAAGATGGACACAAATGCAGCAATAGGCCATGCAGTTAGAAACCATTTATCTTCAGTAAAGTTAACCACTTAGTATTTTTTGCATAGGCTGCAGGGACAAGTACAAATTCACATGTTTATTAAAATAATACAAGTGTAGCTGTATTCCTTTTTATATAAAACTGTAAATATTTAAAAATGTATATCAAGCCAAAAACATTTTAGCTTTATGGTATGGAAGAATTGTAACGCCTGTCTAAAACAGATGTATATTTAGGGGTCCACAAAGGGACACATGACATCCTAACCCTTTGGGCTCTACTGAGGATTGGACCATGGCAAACACAAAATAAGCAGGCTGCCCTGGGATACTCCCTCCCTCTACTACTAGCAGGATTTTCAAGTGAGCATACAGGACATAAATGTAAACCTTTGGGATATCCAATGGTAGTCCAACTAAGAAGTTGGCAACACAGCAAACCATCCTTAGACAGTGCCAAATTCCTGATTATACTGGGTTTAAGGCTCAAACAGCTGTTTGAAGGGCCTTACACCCAAAACTAGCATCAGATGAGGCTAAAATGTCCATCTGGTACAACTTTAGGAAATGGAAATGGTGTATGAACAGGACAGGTGGCAGCCTTACAAATCTACAAAACTGTTGCCTGTTACCAGAAAGCCCAAGCTCCCTGATAGAGTAAGCCTTTACAGGAAGTCTTTCCTCCATAAAGTTGAATGATGATTTGTCTAAACCCCCAAGGAATGGTGAAATGTGAGACACCGGGGAGCTCTTCAAGGACCTATCTAAACTTACAAGAAGGGAATTATTAGTTCTTAAATTGCAGTGGCTAAGAGAAACTTGCATAAACAGATCCTGGCAATTGAGGGAAATTTCCTTTTTGATGACCTGGAGCTGGACAGAGGATCGGAAGAACAATGTCCTGTTTGACGTGTAAAGCAAAACTGATCTCAAGCAGGAAGGAAGTCCTGGCCACTCGAGGCAGCTTACACCATATGCTTGATCTGAGAGGATTAGATTGGTGGTGTTGCAGTGATCTTGTGGCCTGTACATGGATATCCATACAGTGTCTGACACCATTTAGCATTTTTTTTAATGCTGTATACACAAGTTGTGTTTTTATCTTTAATCATTATTACATAAACATCTAAGAAAAGGAC